TCTGTTTTGATCTGCTCTGACAACTTTTATCCAGATATTTTTACACCATTCGATGCAGAATTGATCGGTGTATATAATTAGTAAAAAAATTCATGGGGTCTGTTAAAAAATATATCGAAATATTCAAAATACTTGGAAAATCGCTATATATTGGACCCCTCAGTTATCGAGTATTTTATGTCTAGCGCACCTAATCCAATTTCAAACGAGGCACAAAATAACACTGTTTGTAGGGCGTTGTCTCCTCTATCGAATGGTAAATGAACAAAATTTGTCAGACTTATGATGGAGATAAAAATTGAGTAAATACTAAACTTGACTACAACATGCATATTTATGCATACTGATCCTCAGTGGTCAAACTTGTCGGACCTGGATCTCGTGAAGGAAACACTTTCAAAACGAGATCTTTTGGTTTTCTTAGTTTCACAACATACTCTATCAATCGAGCAAACAAAGCGAAAAAAATAAAATTTGACAAGTGCCGACAATGGTCGGTGCTATGGTGGATCCTCTCTTAAAAGGGTAAAAAATATCCATAACTTCATTGAAAGACTAAAACTGACTTCTATTCAAACGAAATGTTGTTTAATCTTTCGAATTTCTTGCCTTTCAAAGCTCAACTAGATTTTAACAGACTATATTGACGAATTCTAAAAATTTTTAAAATCGATGAAATTTTAATAGAATATAGTGGCGAACTCTACATCTTCCTAAATTTTAGTTAGATTTGCATTAGAAAAAGTGGCGAACTCTATATCTTACAAAATATAGTTTAGATTTCCATTAAAAACGCAGAGTAAATTGTTAAGTTTGAAAATTTAGATAAATTTAAATTTAACTGGGGCTGAACTTAATATAAATATAGAAAATCAATTATTTATTCTTTTTTTTGAATTGTTTTAAATTTGAAAATCTTTTAAGAATTATGTTTAATTTTGCCTAAAGCTCAATTTTGTCTGACACATATACAATATTGAGCAGCCATAGTTCTACGCTTTCATACAGAGTATAGGTTGATAATTTAGTCTAGAAATCCTCTGTGAGAAAAGAGGCTTCACTGCAGCAAATTTTTTCTGTTAATTTCGTACAGAATTTCTGTATGGTTTCATTGGAAATAGAAAACCAATCGCATGATATGAAAATAACAATGCAAGATTAGTAGTTCCTCATGTGGACAGAAGAATCCTCTCGATGCTCATAACTACAGAGGTGTTTTAAAGTGTTCCCACTTTTGTAAAAACATACCTATTTTAGTTGTATTGATATAAAACCTTCTATAATTACAATAGTAATGTGATGATAAGGTATGGATGTTGTACTATGAGGGAGAGGAAAGAATCGTATTGCTTGTATATACCTCGTGAAATAAATAAGCCCTACGCGCATACGTACTAGAAGGTGAATTATTAATGCATGACTATTTGATGAGACAATGCAATTGTGCACAATACAATACGTAGTTCTACTTGTTCTCTCTTCTGTGTTTGAATAGGCTTCATCCTTGGCCATGAATAGTCAATCACATGGTTGAAAAAATCTTGCATTATAATACACATTCATTCACTTTTTTTATGTATTATCGTACATGATCGAATGAATGTCAACGCTTACGAGGCCTTGGCAAGTAGCTCAACAAACTAATCCTGTTCATGACTAATTCAAACATAGATCTAGAGCTCAGCAAGGCAAGTCGTGTCTTAACTTGTCCACGATGATCTTCTCCGTTCGATATCCAATTCCACAAAGGCTATCAATCATCGCAGAAGTTCCAGGAGAGCACGACTACAGGTCTCGATCTGTACGCCAATTGGTGTTCCAGAACTGTTTCCTCTACCCGTTTCAGCCTTACTGAAAATCTCCAAATCTGTCTGGACTTCACGGTAGGCCCCTTACTCGTCCGGGTTTCAGCAAAGGTCCTGGTATCTTTCCCAACTCCAGCACTGATTTCCATGAACTTTTCAGATTCACTGATGGTGTCCTTACTCGCTTGGGCTCCAGTAGTAATCCGAGAACCCGTCCCTATATCAGTTGCGATTCCTGTATTCGTCCTCGTTCCAGTGATGATTCCCTCACTCGTCCGAATATCATTAGAGGTCCTGATACTCGTTTCCGTTTCAGTCGTGATTCCCGTATTCATTCTCATTTCAGTAATGCTTTCTTCATTCGTCCAGATTTCAGTTATGATCTCTCCACTCGTCCAGATTTCAGTTATGATCTCTCCACCCATTTTGATTTCTGTAGTGGTTTCATCATTCATCCGGGTTTCAGTAGTGATTATGATATCCGTCCTCGTTCTAGCCCTGATATCTGTATTCGTCCTGATTTTTGTGATCGTCTCCTCATTAATCCGAGTTTCAATGGTCATTCTAGCAGCCATGATCCCCGTGTTCGCCCTAGTTTTAGTCTTGTTCGTCGCACTGGTCCGGGTTTCAGTAGTGGTCCTGGCACCCATTCTTGTTTCAGACGTGATCATCATACTGGTCCTCGTTCCTGTGGTGGTCTCCTCCCTGGCTCGGATTCCAGTATTGGTCCTGGTAACTGTTCCTGTCTCAGCTGTGATCCCTGGACACACACTGATTTCTATGCTGGTCCCTTAACTCGACTGGATGTGGGTGTGGGGTGTGCGTGTGAGTGGGTGTGTGGGGTGCGAGTGTGGGTGGGTGTGGGCGTGGGTGTGGGTGGGTGTGTGGGTGGGTGTGGGGTGTGGGGGTGTGGGGGTGGGGGTGGGTGTGCGTGGGGTGAGTGTGGGTGGGGGTGGGTGTACGTGAGGGGGAGGGGAGGTGGATGAAGAGAGTACCTATACCCACACCTCACACTGAAAAAAATTAGGTGCTCTACGAAACCTAAAAGGGTTCCGATTTTTGTAACGAAATCAAAACCTTTCTGTGATGTCGTACAGAACTTTCGAAGTTGTGTAAAATCTCACGAAACATTCTTCAGGGTTTACGAAAGCTTCAAGGGTTTCGTGAGACTTTACAGAACTTCGAAAGTGCCGTACGACATCCCAAAAAGGTTTCGATTTCGTTACAAAAATCGGAACTCTTTTAAGTTTAATGGAGTACCTATTTTTTTTCAGTGCACACTAGACATCGGCGTGACCAGAATGTCGTGACCAAAGAAAAAAAAAGTTATTCGATTATAGTTTCAATAATAGGGGTGGGGTGTGGGTGGGTGTGGGTGTGAGTGTGGATGTGAGTGGGTGTGGGTGTGAGATGATAGAAGAACTACACTCACACCCACACCCCATTTTGCTATGAATAGTACTGAATTGTATGATCCATTAACAGAAACTTGGCAAATGGCTAGTAATATGAATTATGCACGAGGAAGCCACTCAGCATCCGTATTAAAAAATGGAAACGTGTTTGTTGCTGGTGGACTTGATCGTATTGGTCTAAATACTTCAGAATTATATGAATCATCTCAAATAAATCAACAGCGAATAACTTTATATTTATAAGCACATGTTGTTTAGCATCTAAACATTAATTTCATAAAGAGAATTGTAAGATTTAAATCATAATGAATAGTTTTCTTCGATTGTTTTTGTTAGATTGTGAAACATTGAAGAATTCGTTTTAAAATATCAAACTATTTTTGATTTTATGTTTAGATGTGTTAAACTTATTGTGACAAGAAACTTTCAGTTCATATAATGATTTTAATCCGTTGAAAGTGTTTTATTAAATTTCCAATTTATCTTTCGTCCAAAAATTTGATTTTCTTTATATCAGTAATTAGTATGCTATCAAAATTTCGATCAATATTGATCAAGTGAACTTTCACTTGTTTCTTATAAATTTTCAGAGATTTTCCATTTCAGTTGAAGAAAGATGGCAGTTTCTTGTTCTTAATGTGTGTAATAGCAAGTTTTATTTATATATTGGAATAAGTGATTTTTTGATTCAGTCCATCTATCGTTGGATTATCGTTAAACTATAACTTTTTCAAAGAATAGTTGGGATAAATGAGAGCATCAGTTAAACACAGAATGCCTTAGCTATCCTTCTTTATTTTATTTGCAGATCGAATAAATAAAAACTGAGTTAAGAATTGAACTAATCAGTAAAAATGCCTTTGACAAAGATTGGCATCAATATGGAACACAATTTATAAGACTTTTTCAAAATAGAATAGACCTCGTTGTTACTAGACACCTATTTTTATATAAGTAGCAGTATCAATGTTGATATTCTTCTTATAACAACATTGTCATATTATTTACAATTTTGTTTAACAAATGTAATTCTTGTTTGAACGAACGAACAAAAAGAAATAGAAATTTCTTTTTCATGCACTCGTATAGATAGAAATATTCATGTTGAGAATGAATTAAGTGAAAGATAAAAAATATTTATTGGCAATTATGGATCCATTGTGCAAGTGATTTTAGATAGAAATGTTTATCACGGAAGATATTTTCCAGAGAATATTGTATGAAACAAATTGATTTAATTTGAACTCGTCTATTGATAACGATGTTTTAGAGTTAAACCTAAATATTATCTCCAAACAAAATATTCATAAAAAAAGAGTTATTGTTACAATAAGAAGAGTTCGATTAATCAAATGACAAACAACGACGAAATATTAAAATTTCTAGAAACAATATCGCTCTCTTGTTGAAATCTTGAAGATCTTAAAATAAGGAAGATGTCATCTTGAAATAGAGTTATCAATGCATTTTTTCTGCATATAGGCGTTTATTCGATGATTATTGCAAAAGACAAACGTAGAATATAAGTTTTGTAGTGTCAAGTTTGTTCAGACAGAAATTGTTTAAGTTTTTTTTTAATATTCATAATTTATTGTGCCATACTTAGGTTCACAAGAGGAAAAAGAAAAAGTGACATCAGAAAGAAATAGTAAATTATTAGATAGGTAACGATGTCAATCACACATCCAAATACATATCACGAATACATACACAGAAAGGTTGTAGGTGTGGGTATGGTTGCTCTATGGGTACGTACCCACATGCACACCCACACCCTTGTTCAATTAAACATCGTACGATTGGGTTTGTTGTTGAAATACGAATCGTATTTCGTTGCTTTGATGTCTGGTTGGTGTTCATTTGGTTTGAGCTTTAATGCATGACAAATAATATTACAGATATGTGTTTGAAAAAATCTTTTCATTCCTGGTTTGCCAAGATTTGTACGACCAAATCGAAATAAATGAGTCGAATGTACACATGGATCTGTAAGCAAATACTTTTCATCATCTCCAGCAATAATACCTTGTAAATCAACAACCATCATATTTCCGTCTGTATGGTCATGAGTCCAATGTGAAAATGCTTGTAATGTAAATGCTGGATCGCTATGTTCTACAAATCCAGCGTTATTTGAATATTTCTTATAAGAACCATCGATGAATCTTTCCATTGACATATTACGATATTTTTCTGAACCTATTGGCATGAAAACTAATTTTGCCATTATGAATTTAATTTTTTTAACATAAGTCGTAAGATTATTTAGTTGTGGTAATTTATTAAATTCTAGTGCCAGATAATCAGCCACTGTTTGACACTCCAGACTCTCTATATATTTGTCTTTTGTATTATCTCCACGATTATTACGTTTAAATTCTTTAAGTACAACTTTTTCCCATCTATCTTTGTATTTGGTGAGACCATAATATGCCAAGCGCAATGCACCTTCAGAAAATGGATTTGCGGCAATCTTTATAAGCCAATTTTGCTTTACTTCAGTGCATCGTAATTGTTCATTACACTTGTACTTGATGACCTGAGCTAGTGTAGGTTTTACAGTTGCCCATTCGGGTTCAATCCTGTTAAAAACTACACTACGTTGACTGTCTTTTGTCGATGTGTTATTTGCTTTACCAGCTTTAGGATCATTTTCAGCATGTTTTCTTAATAAAGTTGATGCTGTTGACAAAATTGATTGAGAAATACTTTCAACGACAAATGGTAATAAGTTTTCAAATTTATTGAGATCAATCTCTTCGATTGTCATTTTATTTTCCGTATAATTACGAAACTGTTCGATCATTTTATCTGTCTTCGAATTCAAACGACCAAAGAAATATTTCACATTCAATTCAATCAGTTCGTGTATACACCCATATCCAATTAATCCATCCCTATCATTCGTCAAATAGTGGTCACATTTATCTGATAAATCATGATAACGTCGACCATGTGCTGGGGCGTCTCCAATATGTATCATAATACGCACCGTCTGTTTCCATTTAATTTCTGTTGTTTTCTGTAATCCTCCCAGAACATCTTCACACAAGTCATCACCATATTTGCATGTCACGTTTGAGACAAACCGATGAAATTCTTCTACATCGGTAAAATCCAAAATACTATACTGTTCGTCTATGGATAAGTTGAGATCACGATATCCAACGAATGCGAGGCGTATTTTTAAATGCGGAAAACGAACTTGTAACAGCTCAACGGTATTAAATATGTATTGTTTTACTTCGGCGATATATTTTCTCATACTATTGGTGCAATCCATCATAAAACAAACATCTACCATTTCAACTTCTTTCAATCCTCTTATGATCTCATTGATTTCTTGTGTGCGTTTTGTAACACTAACAAGGTGTTCTTGAGCATGTAATTGCTCTTGTGCAGTAACAGAGAGTATTTCTGTACTTTGCTTTTGTAATGCATCACATTTTTCTTTTATTTCTGCTAAATTAAGATTTCTTTGAGTGGCATTTTGAATATTACGCTGAATTTCTTCCACTTGACGACGAAGAGCATCGAGAGTCGGTATAGCGCATGTATCTGCTGCACGTCGAGATGCAGGGATATTCAGGTCCATATTTCGTTGTAGACTGTCCTTCTATAAACAACTAGTGTAATAATAATTTGTTCTACAAAATACCATACTATTTAATAGCGAATCTCTCTTTTTTCCATAAAGTAGCAAATTTCACATTGGTACTAATTTAAAAAAACTGCCTGTCAAAGTTTTTTGAAATTTCTGCTATGGAGAAAAGCTCATATAAATTTGAATTAATTTAATTGTGATTAAATACTTTTAAAGTCTCCTATTTCAAAAATGGCTAGCAACTCGGAAAAATCCCACCGTCTATATTCAATTTAACCAGATCATATATCAGATATCTATTATAACCCCAATGTATTCATTACGACCTAAGAAAGTAGAAAAATCGTTAACAAAATATTTATGAAGGTGACTTGAATAGAATTTTTATCATGAAATTAAAAGCGACTAACGAGGGTAGGTCACCAACTGATCAATCGCTTTTGAGTCGGAACTATGTACATCATGTAGGTCTTAATGAGCTATGAATACCCTGAAAAGAGTTCGGGCCGCTAGCTTATTACTATCGAGATACTGCATTTTTACGATATTTTTAAGCAAAATGCCGTGGTCCCCCTCAGGAACACCAGCAAAACTGAGTTTTGAATTTCGACTTGAAATTTGGCGCAGAAACAGATCTCAATGAGAGTAGCTTATTGTGAAAGTTTCAGATCTTTTGGTTGTTCCTATTCTGAAATAAGAATACTGGAACCCGTCGGGGGTATACGAGCAGTGTAAAAATACCCTTTTTAGCTGTATCTTAGGATAGGAACAACCAAAAGACCTGAAACTTTCACAATAAACTATTCTCATTGAGGCCTGTTTCTGTGCAAAGTTTCAAGTCAAAACTCGAAACTGAGTTTTTCTGGTTCCTGAGGAGGACCACAGCATTGTGCTTAATTAAAAATACCACAAAAATGCAGTATCTCAACAATAATAAGCTAGCAGCCCGAACTCTTTTCAGGGTATTCATAGCTCATTAGGACCAACATGATGGACATAGTTCCGACTCAAAAGCGATTGATCAGTTGGTGACCCTCCCTCGTAAGACTGGTGTGGAATGGATGAAATAAAAGATGCCACTACAAAAAGTTTCAATAAGAAATCTAACGGGTAGCCCATAAATTGGGTGGGTGTGGGTGTGGGGTGTGGGTGTGGGTGGGTGTGGGGTGT